ACACAAAATGATAACAATGGATTTCAGCAAATACAAGATTTTCCCAGCAGATGTGCAGAAGACAGTGATGAGGACATTATCAGAAGTGGCATATTTTCTCCAAAGAGCTCAACAAGCTTTTGTATTGTTTTCAAAATATGTACACTATGATCCCCATTTTGTCAGTGATTCTCCTATGTCAACGTGTGGTTCTTCCTCTCACACGATTGGCTTTCATGGATTTTATTGCTTGTAATATCTGTTCGCACTGCTCATAACAACCACACTTTGCTTATTGACACTGGGAGGGTGACTACCATCTGTACCAACATGATCAGAACCACACCAAAATCTCCATTTTATATTCTGTTGTGCCAGCGTTTGTGAAGGGGAAATAGCAAATAGATAATAGTGAGCATCAGTGAGAGGGAACGAAGGCGTTTGTGTTGCAAGGTGAGTGTGTATCAGAAGGTGTATTTTCATCATTTGATGAAGCGTCCTGGAGCCCATTCATTGTGGGTTGTTACATGGAAGTACACAAATCCCACTTATGTAGACTATGACTACATCCTAATCACAGAGAGAGGTGAAGCACAGGGAACAAGAAAGTAACACTGGTGATTTGCGTGAAGGGTATGTGGATGCGAACTGTTCTTTCCACATCTCAGTGGGTGTGAAATGTTTTTAAACAAAAAAGGAATTTTTTTAATAGAAAGCAGTATAAAATGAAAAACTAACAAACTGGGGAAACATTTGCAACAGATATAACACAAAAATTGCCAATATTCATAGAAAGAGAGCTCATGCCAATAAAAAAAAAAAACCCAACTTGACATAGAAAGACATTGACAGACTAGTCACAGAGATAGAAATGCAGATAACTGTATAAAGGTGAAAAATGTATAATCTCACTGCGAAACCAGAGAAATGCCAACTAAACAATGTATTACTATTTTTTCTTACAAATTAGGACAGCAGATGATTTAAACCATCCTCATACTCAGAGCTGATAAGTGGCAGTAGGATGGGAATATTTTGATTCTATCACTAAAGGGTTAAGTTGGCCCAAAGCCCCTAAAGGCAATTTCTCAAAGGGTGTGAGAGCTTTTCAAAATTGTCATTTTTTAATTTAGTAGTTGTACTTCTAGCAACTTCCCCTAGGAAATAAGACACATGGACCTCTGTATAAGTTTGTTTACTTTGGTGTTCTATTTTATAGCAATACATGTGGAAATGCCTTCAAGGTTAACAGTAAAAGCTTGATTCAATCTATAGCTCATCTTATGTGTGCATTACATACCTATTTAAACTGATTCTGTCCGAGGGGCACCTGGGTGGCTCAATCAGTTCTGCATCTGCCTTCAGCTCAGGTCATGATCACAGGCTCCTGAGCTTGAGCCCTGCATCGGGCTCTCTGCTCAGTGGGGAGTCTGCTTCTCCCTCTGTCAAATAAATAAAATCTTTTTAAAAAGTTTAAAACTGATACTGTCCAAGAAATTTTAATGACGTGGAAAGTCCTCACAGTATATGTTGACAGGGGAGAAAGCAGAATGCAAAATTGTATCTCAGTTCAAACTCACTTCTAAATACATAATGCACAGAATTAAAAAGATTCTTAAGAAATACATGAAGAGAGTTTCACTTCTAGGAAGATGGTGTAGACCTACTTGCCCCTATTCCTTCTGATAAATACAGCTAAAAAGCCTGGACATTAGATATAAAACATATGAAGGCTTGGAAAGAAGGCAGGCCAGTTAGGGGCCCTAGGACCCAAGGAAGGACATAATGTTCGTGAAGCTCCTGAATTTTCTTTTTGTTTTGTGAATCCTGTTATCCTGTGTTCCTTCTCTCTGAAGAGCTTCTTGTATCATTTCTTGCAAGACAGGTCTCTGGCGAAGAATTCCCTTAGTTTTTGTTTATTTGAGTTTTTATTTCCCCTTTGTCTTTGAAGCATAATCTTGCTGGATATAGAATTCCAGGTTAGTGAGTTTTTTCTTTCCGTACTTCAATTAGTCCACTCAACTCTCTCCTTGCTTGCATGGCTATGATGTCTGATATAATTTAGGTCTCTCTTCTGTAGGTAAGTTGGGGTTTTTCTTTGCCTTCTTTCAAGATTTTGTTTTAGTTTTTCATAGTTTGAATAGGATATACCCTAGGTATAATTTTTTAGGATCTATCCCAGTTTGGTATTCTCTGAGCTCCCTAGATCTGTGATGTAGTATCTGTCATTAATTTTGGAGAATTCTCAGCCATTATTACTCAAATATGTCTTCTGCTCCTTTCTTTTTTTTCTGATGTTCTCAGTATGTATCTGTTACACCTTTTATAATTGTCCCACAGTTCCTGGACATTCTGGTCTGTTTTGTGCATTCCTTTTTCTCTTTGCATTTCAGTTTAGGAGTTTCTATTGACATTTCTTCAAGTTCACAGATTCTTTTCTTGGCTGTACCCAGTCGATTAATAAACCCATGAAAAGCATTCTTCATTTCTCTTAGTGTTTTTGATTTCTAGCATTTCCTTTATATTCTTTCAATTTCAATATCTCTGCTTATGTATCTGCTCTTGCATGACATCTACGTTTTTTCCATTAAAGCCCTAGCCTATTTATCAGAGTGATTTTAAATTCCTTGTCTGATAACTCCACAATCTTTTGTTATATCTGATTCTGATGCTTGCTCTGTCTCTTTAGACTTTTTTTTTTCTTGACTTTTAGCATTCCTTATCACTTCTTTTGAAAGCTGGACATGATATGTTGGGTAATAGGAAATGAGATGAGTAGGCGTTGAGTAGGAGGTAAGTAGGCCTTTACCTGGCTAGGAGTTGTACTGTGTTTACTGTAACTGTAGGTGTCCGACAATTCAATTTCCTCAGCTGGCTTTGCTTTTGTCCCTCCTGTGGTCTTTGGATTTCCCTAGAAACTCTTTCCTAAATAGGTCCTAGCCTTGAAGTCCTCTCATCTGTGATCTTCTGTTATACAGATGCCTGTAGATGTAGGGTGTTGGAGGAACACATTCAATACTCCTTGATCTGGCCTCCCATCTTTAATTGGGTCTGTTCCTCCAGACTGTTACCTTCACAAGTCTTTCTTGGTATCCCCCTCAGAGGTGAGACAGGAAGAATGGAGGGGGCTGGAGTAAGCTGGTTGCCCTTTCTCAGGCCAGATAATAATTTTCCTTGAGAGCTGGCCTTTAATACGGAGAACAGAACAAGGGACAGAACTCTCTGGGAGTAGTTTGAAATGATTTATTTTCACTCCCCACTGCTAAAAGCAGGAGGGGATTTTTTTCAGACTTAATGGTAAGAACATGGTGGGGTTCCTGGAGGTAAAACTTAGGCAAGTCTGCCCCCTCCCCCAAGCCTTGGACCCTCAGAGTTGTTTGGTGTTTTTTTTTTTTTTTTTTAAAGATTGTATTTATTCATTTACTTGAGAGAAAGAACACAAGCGTGGAGGAGCGGCAGAGGGAGAGGGAGAAGTAGACTCTCCACTGAGTGGAGAACCCGATGCAGGCTTTGATCCCGAGACCCAGGGATCATGACCTGAACTGAAGGCAGACGCTTAACCAACTGCGCCACCCAGGCACCTCCAGCCCCTCAGAGGTTTGTTTGTTTTTTTACCCCCTCAGAGTTTTTAATGCTCAAGCTAATGCACACTGAGCCTCTGGCAATTTGTTAAGTAAAGTTAAACTGTTCTTGCCAATACCAGTTCCAGCAAGAGGCTTCCACTCTGTAACTTTATCCAGGTCTGTCCATGTGTCTTTGTTTCTCTCCAGTTTTCAGGGCAGTAGTTTTCCCTGTGATCCCAATTCTCTGGTAGATCAAAGAAGAATTGCTTTTTGGTTTGTTCAGCTTTTTCTTGTCACCCCCATCCTCACAATAACTTCATGTTGAAATGAAGCCAGTAGTCTACAAACTGTTTTTTGTTTTTTTTTTTAAGATTTTATTTATTTAGGGACACCTGGGTGGCTCAGCAGTTGAGCATCTGTCTTTGGCTAAGGGCAGGGTCCCAGTGTCCAGGGATCGAGTCCCACATTGGGCTTCCTGCATGGAGCCTGCTTCTCCCTCTGCCTGTATCTCTGCCTGTGTGTGTGTGTGTGTGTGTGTGATGAATAAAAGATTTTTGAAAGATTTAATTTTTTTTAAATTTTAGATTAAAATTTTAAGATTTAAGATTTTTTAAATCTTTAAAAAAAAGATTTTATTTATTCATGAGAGACATGGAGAGAGAGGTAGAGACAAAGGCAGAGGGAGAAGGAGGCTCTCTGCAGGGAGCCTGATACGAGACTCCATCCCAGGACTCTGGGATCAGGACCTGAGCCAAAGGCAGATGCTCAACCACTGAGCCACCCAGGCATCCCCACAAATTTTTCTTAATGATGATTTTACAAACATGGACATCACAGCAGAGTCAAGAGATTGAATTTAACTGATCTTAATTATGTTGACCATTTTAAGGTCTGCTTTCAAATGAAAAGTTTTAAGATACACATTACACAGTTGTTCTTACAACTTTGTTTTTACACTGCACTCCCATGGAGCTGCCCACTGCTTAATAAGGAGGACCTTTCACCACCTTTGATCCCCAAGTCTTTGCAACTATATAAAATAGCAGAAATTTAAAGAATAGAAGTGCTAACTGCTTAGAGACCAGCATGTTGAATATATTTAGCATTGGCCATTCAGTAATTTAGTTTTACAAAACAAAATACAGCATGCTGGATTTTTCTCTACCAAGAAATGTTTTATAGTATAGTAGTAATTATGTCAGTCATGGATCATACAACCTCAGCCAGAGATAGAGCTTTTCACTCATGTTATAGTGGTCATCATCCGACTCAGAAGTTGCTCTGCTTAATAAAACAAATGCGGTTCTATAGCGGTAAAAATGCTAAAGTTGACCTAGTTTATTGTAATTACCATTAGGATATTTCCTGTAAAATCTAACTTAACTAGGAAGCAAATTACAATTTGTGGTTGTTAAATTCAATTTAAAATTTTCTTTTTCTTTCTTTTTTTAAACTTAGGTTGCTTCCAGCTGTAATTGATCAGAAATCATTTGTTTTCCCTCTAGAATCTGAGGGTAAACTTTGGCAAACTCAAAGACAGCATGGTACATTTCCACATGCCTTTCCAAAAATAAAGGTAGGAATAGAGAAATCCATAGAGACAGAAAGGGGATTAGTGGTTGGGGAGTCTGAGAGAGGGGAGGCTGAGGAGGGACATGTGATGGATATATCAAGTGTCTTTTTGGGATGATGAAACATTCTGGAATTTGATAGTGGTGATGGTTGCTCCACTCTGTGGATAGAGAACCATTGAATTGTAAACACTTCAGAAGGGTAATTTTAAGGTATATGAAATATGTCTCAATAAAGCTGTTAGGGAAAAAAATAAAACCTTTTCAGAGTAAAGGCAGGAAATTTACTTTGTGTTCTAAATGAGAAAACAGGCCAGTGGTGTTTCAGATATGTTCATGGCGCAGTTTCTATCACAAAAGTGCTTTCTTCAGAACGCAAAATATATCAAAACACAGTGCCTTCAAATTTTTAAACTAGCAATAATTGCGCCTCAGATAAGCCAATGGCTACCATGCTGCCATTGTGCAAAGCTAGAAGTTTTGAACAGGGCCCTTGGAAGGCAAGTTTCCAGGTGGCAAGGGATAGAGCCCAAGAGGTTACTGATTTTACCTGCTGGAGGCTCTTGCAATTGGATTCCTGTTTCTTCCCCAACTCCCCAAAAGTGGTAACAGCTCACCTCCTGTCAGTGCTTTAGGAACACTAACTTGATTAACCTTCATAAAGATCCTAGAGGGACGTACTATTATTGTCTTCATTTCATTGATGGAGAAGCCAAGATTCAGAAATATTAAAGAAATTGCCCAAGATGACACACTAGTAAGTGTCAGAGCCAGGATTGTGTGCCCAGAAATACAGCGATAAGCACTGTGGTACCCCCGCTTTAAATAATAGCTTCGTTGAGGTATTATTAATATACCATAAAATTTACCCTTTTAAGTGTACATTCAGTGGTTCTTAGTATATTCACCAAACTTTGCAGCCATTCCATGATACCCTTTTTTACATCGGTGTTACCCATATTTTTCCTCTATCACACTTGACAAAATTTGTAACTAGATTTTTTTAAATGTCTATTTTCCCACTAGAATATAAGCTTAATGAGGGCAGGAGCCATGTCAGTTTGTTTGTTACTATACATTGCCAGGGAATTCTCAATAAATGTTTGTTGAATGAAAAAATGAAACCGTAGAGACCTCTTAGGGTGTGCTCACCCCCATGTAGAATCAATCCAGGTTCCACTACATTCCCAAAGCAGCCCGCTTCTACCTTCATCACTGTACTTCTTACATTGAGTTGTTCAGCAGAGTATTTACTATGTGCCAAGAACTGTCAGAGACACACTGTGATAGACGATGCCAGGTCCCTGCTCTCAGAGCTTGTGTTCTAGTTGGTGGAGATAGATCGTTGATAAGAAGATACCAGATAATAATAAAGGCTCTCCTGATAACACAGAATGCCTTGATAAAGGGAGCTTGAATTTCTTATCTCCTTACTATTAACTCTCTGCCTCTGTTAAAAATTTTTTTTTCTTAAGAATCTCAGGAGGATCACTGTTGGTCCACAAGTGGAAGATTAGAGCTCTCTCGTTTATAAGGCCAATGAAACAAACTATCTGAAATTAGGACTATTTAGAATATATGGCTGCTATTATTATTCCAGGAAAATAACTATCACCAGAAATTTATTTTCCCGAAAGAGTTTTGAATCCTGGCAAATGATCACAAAGATAAGAAATCTTGTGTGTTGAACATAACCCTGGAGTTCTTTTAAATACTGTTAGCATGGGTGAGCTTCATTTAAAAGGGGCATGAACTGTTTCCTACCCAGACTTTACCTCCCGGGCCTAGATCCCTATCGTTGTTTTATTTCTAATATCAGTGACATCTGCTTAAAAATGCATAACCACTGACACACAAGACAGACCTAATTTTGCATTGTAAACTCAATGACAAACAGTGCTGTTTTGCCAGCTGTTCCTGCAAGCCTACTACACCAACTTAAAAGCTTGTATTATTAAGTTGCAGTGAAATCCAACTGGGATATTGCCACCTTTAATTGCCTACTGCCAACCTGTTCAACTAGGTAAACCCCAGTTGTTTCTTTAAGCTCTCTTTCTCAAAAGTAGATAACTATCTTTGGAATTCCACTTCATGCCAAAAACTTACACAACAATTAGGAGTTGCACGATTATAATTCCAAGTCATGATTAAGAATTGTTTCTTTGGGGATCCCTGGGTGGCGCAGAGGTTTGGCGCCTGCCTTTGGCCCAGGGCGCGATCCTGGAGACCCAGGATCGAATCCCACGTCAGGCTCCCGGTGCATGGAGCCTGCTTCTCCCTCTGCCTGTGTCTCTGCCTCTCTCTCTGTGTGACTATCATAAATAAATAAAAATTAAAAAAAATAAACTATAGTCTTTCATCCTCTTTAAAAAAAAAGAATTGTTTCTTTGGCTATATAGCTATATGCAAAAGAGTGAAACTGGACCATTTTCTCACACCATACACAAAAATAAACTTAAAATGGATTAATGACCTAAATGTAAGACCTGAAATCATATAACTCCTAGAAGGAAATAGGCAGTAATCTCTTTGACTTTGGCCTTAGCAACGTTTGTCTCCTTAGGCAAGGGAAACAAAAGCAAAAATAAGCTATTTGGATTACACCAAAATAAAAAACTTTTGTACAGCAAAGGAAACCATCAACAAAACACCAAGACAACCTACTGAATGAGAAAATATATTTGCAAATGATAAAGGGTTAATATCCAAAATATATAAAAAAACTTATACAATGAAACACTAAAAAAAATAATAATGGGCATTACATAAAAACTAAAAATGGGCAGAGCACCCGAATGGACATTTTCCTAAGGAAAACATACAGACACCCAACAGGCACATGAAAAAAATGATCAATACCAGTCATCATCAGGGAAATGCAAATCAAAACCACAATGAGATATGACCTCACACCTGTCAAAATGGTGAGAATCATAAAGATAAGAACCAAGTGTTGTGAGGATGTGGAGGAAAGGGGAACCCTGGTGTACTGTCGGTGGGAATGTAAATTGGTGCAGCCATTGCTGAGAGCTGTATGGAGGTTCCTCAAAAAGTTAAAAATAGAAATACCATATGATCTAGTGATTCCACTATTGGGTATTTACCCAAAGAAAATGAAAACACTCATTCAAAAAGATACATGAATCCCTATGTCTATTGCAGTATTATTTACAATAGACAAGATATGGAAGCAGCCCAAGTGTCCATCCACAGATGAATGATAAAGAAGAGGTGGTGTGTGCCCCCCCCCACAGTGGAATATTACTCAATCCTAAGAAAGAATGAGATGTTACCATCTGTGACAACATGGATGGACCTCGAGGGTGTTATGCCAAGTGAAATAATTCAAACAGAGAAAGGCAGATACTATATGATCTCCTATGATTTCACTTCCATATGGAATCTAAAAAACCAAGTAAACAAACAAATACCAGACTCTTAAATACAGAGAATAAACTGGTGGTTGCCTCAGGGGAGGTAGATAGAGGATGGGCAAAATAGATAAAGGGGATTAAGTTGTACAAACTTGCAGTTATAAAAAGTAAGTCACAAAGATGAAAAGTACAGCATAGGGAATATAGTCAATAATATTGTAAAAAAAGAGAATTGTTTATTAATCTTCTTTTACATTTGAAAAAGCCATATTGTGATAACTTTTCTTTACAGTGTGTCTTTGTTCCACATCAACTACCATCTCAACCTCTCTTTGGGGTACCTTAGATTATAGGCACACGTGTACTCTTACAGATAAAGAAATGATTTGAAGTAAAAACAATGAAGGAGGAAGTGGAGGAAAGAAGAGAAGAAGAAAAAGTTCATAGGCCAAGAGAGTATTTGCTTTTCTTGTTGTATCTGGCAAGCTAATTCCTATACCGTTCAGATAAAGGAGCTACTTACAAGCATGACACAGTTGGTTATGTTTGTGGGGCAGGAAGATAAGCCCATCTCATTGCTCGAGAATTATTCCCTATATTAATTCCATAAAATGGATGCCTTAGCAGTCAAACAAACCTAAAAAATTGTGATCTAATACAACGCAGCATCGTGCATTATCTGTATCTAAGATGGGAACACTCTGATTTTGTGATTTTGGATTGAATTGAGAAAGTGGTTCTCAAACTTTAATCAAAAAGAAGGTTTTAGACAGCCCAGGTGGGGGTGGCTCAGCGGCTTAGCGCCGCCTTCAGTCCAGAGTGTGATCCAGGAATCCCGGGATCAAATCCCACGTCAGGCTCCTTGCATGGAGCCTGCTTCTCCCTCTGCCTGTGTCTCTGCCTCTTTCCCTCTCTCTGTGTCTTTCATAAATAAATAAATTTCAAAAAAAGAGGTTTTGAGGACTCTGGACATTATGAAAAATAAAATGGTAAGAGATGAGAGAAGAGAAAAGAGCAGATAAGGGTTACTTCCCAGATTGTCGCTCTGAGTCCTTCCTCACTTAGCAGTTGGTGGGTGGCAGGTTTTGCCTATGAGAAGGTAGTTGCAGGCAGGTCTGGGACATGTCTGGTGTCCAACCTGGATGCCAGGTGGATGAGCCAACCACTGTGAGCTCTGTCTTCTCCCAAGAAGCCAGGCTTTACGAGAGCAGCAACTTTTAATAAAATACTGCTTCTTATCAATGGATTTTTATTGAAAGGTTTTGAAATACAGACCTAATGGCATCTAACCCCTTAATGCTTTAACAGGATCTTTAAAAATGAACATATTCTGGGCAGGCTCAGTTGGTTAAGCAACTGGCTCTTGGTTTTACCTCAGGTCATGATCTCATAGTTGTGGGAGTGAGCCCCACTTCAGGCTCTATGCTCAGTAAGGAGTCTGCTTCAGATTCTCTCCCCTGTTTACTCCCTCTCTCTTTCTCTCTCAAATAAAGTCTTTTTTAAAAAGAGCATATTCCTACTTGCCCACAATAACATTATCGTACCTAAAAAATGAGAAATAAGTCATGAATATAATAAATACTCAGGTCACACTTAAATTTCCCCAATTAATCCTCAAATGGCTTTTACCC